AATCCTCTTTGCCCTTCACTGAAGTCTGAACTCCGCCCTCCCAGAGATTGCCCTGACATTGCCCGAGAGCCTCTGCTAACCAGTCGTGACTGAGTTGAAATGATGAGTTTCATTCTTACATAGACTGTAAACCAACAGACTTTATTTCACACCTTCCCAGATTGATGCCTCATTGCCAACCAGTTTTCTTGTGATATGGTCTGGAGGCACATTAGTCGATGTATGTGATGTACGAGTTGTTTAGTCTGTGTGTTATTGATTCTGAATTATAGAAAATGGTCTAATCAATCCTCCCAGTTCTCAATGCTTCTTCTTCACGTAGCATCACTCACTGTCTGTTCTGTCCTCTCATACACTCAGTCTGGCCTCCATTCAGCCCACGAGAAAGAACAGATTGATTTTCTTCCACCTTCCAGCTCCGGAAGCCTCTCGTTTTCTTTCACTTGATTCTTTCGGGATCCCAGCTCCCTCCCACTGATCCCACCCCAGCCCTCTGATCCCACCCCCTCGCCTGCCTTTGTGCTAAGCTGTCATATGGCATTGTGCCTTTCCCACTTTATCAGTTTCGCTCCATTAGTTTGAGAAAAGCTACTTATTGATTTATTCGCTTCAGACTTAGCCCTGTTAATGAACAGAAACACTCTTGAACACAATTATTCACAAAGTCTGTTTCTTTTATATGTCAAAATTCATCTACCCTGATTGCAGATTACCCCAGGGGCGGAAGTGACATCAGTCTGTACAGGGGAATGGTGCACATTGTGAGCAAATCGCTACTGAAAGGTTAGAGGAAGCCCCTCACAGTGCGGCAATGCAGAACAGACAATTTATAAGCAGTTTATATTGAGCAGAACTGATCCTTTTTTTAAATATGCGAGCACCAGCTTCCAGCATTGAAGTTAAATGCAATCAGGATACAGTAGGAATGAGAGGTAACTGATTGACCTAACGCTGTTATACAAGGGCCATAGGCTCCTGCTTTGCTGCCCAGAGAAAGTGACTGTCGCTAGTGAGAGGGTGGGACTGACTGGCTCCAGGTGCCAATGACATTTAATGGCTGCTGTTCCAGTCATGGCCTGAGGATGCCAACACTCTGGAACCTTCCATTAATAAAAAGGCACTGGGTTATCCTATCACTCTTCGTGGTACGTTGCTGTGGGAGGTACAATAGCATTCCCTTAACACCCAACCCCGCCAGTATTCATCCAATTTCCTTTTAAATGTTGGTAAAAATTTGGCATCAATGACCATGACATCGTTGAGATGTCTCAAAATGCTTCACAAAATATATTGTAGTAGTAGTAGTGAGTGTAGTAGTATATTGTTATGACTGTGTATTTTGTGGGTGAAATGCAGCAGCCAATTGCGCACAGCAGTGGCCCACAAACAGTCATGGAATCAGTGACCACATTTTTTTTGTGAGGCTCCTCAACAGCCTCATTCACACAGTGAAACCCTCAGACACAGTGTGACAGCCCTTCACAGTGTCCACATATGTTGACATTCACTGAGAGGATGGGAAAAGACTTGCATTTAATTAGCTACAATGAGAGTGCAATCAATGTGTAATTTTTTAATGAAGGGAGCTGGTACATTATTCTTTCTGGTGAGTAATATTATGCAAAATTTATTATACTCTCATTGCTTATTGCTTTAACATCTTGCACTCAATTTCTTAAAACATCTTGTTTTCTGGAAGCTGCAAGTAATTCAGGAAAAGGGCTTAGATTTATTTATCTGCCACACAGCAGCTTATAATGAACGGATGGTCCAATACATTAGCTGAGCTAAGAATTACTTTTCATTCATGCTGAGGACATGTAAAGCCAGAGGGATTATATTGTGTGCACAAGCTGTTCCTGTGTGGAGTCAGACAGCAGCCCAACAGCATAAAGTGTGAAGCTGTAAAACGTATTCCAATGAACTGTTTACAGAGTTAAGTCTCTTCCTACATTTGGTGTGTGATCTTATCATCTCCCAGTTTCAGATCAAAACAAGGGAAAGAGAGAACACCAATGGAAGGTGTAGAACTTCACTTAATCCTGGCATCTGCTCATTCATTTACTTGCTTTATTACTTTATGGTCAAACTGGGGTCTGACACATGCAGTATCCAAACCACACAGAGCTCCATGCATTCCCACCTACACCTGGAACTCCCAGAGATAGTTGTTGGAATGGAATGCGCACTCGATCCCCGCAAGGACACATCGTTCTTACTCATCCCAGAAAGTATTATGCACAGGTTGGCCGGAGCCAAGGCTTGGGGAGATCCCAGATTATCCATTAGGGGTAACTGCTAACCAGCTAAACCTGGATAGCTTGCCATTGATATTACTGTCTGGCAAGATTTCTCGCTGCTTGTCCAACTAGGAACACCCTACCCATTAGGGCTTTGGCTTGCAGGGTTAACAGGAGCTGAGTGGGAGGATTTCCCCCCCTCCCCGTGACTGCTCTGTCCTTCCTCATCCTGCCAATGAGCCCATCTGGATGACCAAGACTGACTGTCATGGAGGGTTGGCTCGATTCCAACATTCCATTGCCGGACATTTCACCTTGGAGCCAGTTGAGGAGTCGCAAGGGGACGTAACAGGAGCCTAAGAGGATGCCTTCCATGTTGTCCATTTTTATCTGAACAAAGTTAAGTCTCAACCAGGATTTGAGGGGACTGGGAATAGAGCCCTGAGGTATACCACAGGTGATCGTGTGAGAGCGAGAGGAGAAGCCTTTAGGTTTAAGTGGGATTGCAAACCGTGGAGGTGAATGAGAAAGGAAGATAGAGTGGTCAACAGTGTTGAAAGTAGTAGAGGACGAGGAAGTATAGAGAATCTCATTGCAGAATGAGAGAATATCATTTGTGTAACGTGGAAGCAAACCGTGCTGACAAATTGAATAGGTTCTGACAGATTTCATAGCCAGCAAATGTGTATACACAACACTCCTGTAACAGCTAATGTGGTGATTCACTGACAAGCTGCAACCTTCTAAACATTCACAACAAACACAATGTTCCATGCAAATGGAATGATTATCCAATATTGCTAAGATATATAACTATTTGGCTTGACATGTCACCACATTTCATAACTAGCCCCAGCATTATTTGGCCTTATTTCTTCCTTCAGTAATGACAGTCTGAGGAACAGACAAGGCTCCTGTCATTTGCAGCTGCCCAAATGCTTATGTGAACTGAGCTCAGGATTCAAGGTTCTACTTAGAGTAAAACTGTAAGAACTTTACTATCAACATTAGCAAGAACTTCCAGATCCCAGGCTGCCCTAATGATAATAATACTTGGATTTGATTATAGCACCTTATCACATCATCAAGATGTATTTAGCTTTAATGATTTCCACCATTTTCCTTTTCTAAATCATTCAGTAATTGCTCTGCTAAATTAAATCCAGCCTCCAGTTCTGCAACTGTAATGTTGTTATGTTGCTTAAGTGGATGGAATTTTACAATCCATTACCGCTGCCCGCGCCCCCTCCCCCTATATATACACAGTGCTTCACTACAGGATTTATTTTGTAATGTGGAACATGTAACCATTGATCTTGCTCTTCTCGCAATGACTTCCAAATGATAAACAGAAAGCAGCAATGCTTCCCCACTGTCCCATTACATTAATACTTATAATCAATATGTACATTAGTACGTGTATACAACAACAAACATCAAAATTACATTTATAGAGCACCTTTCACGTCGGGAGGACATACCAAAGCGCTGAACAGTCAGGAGTCGGGGCCCGAGCATGGGGGAGGGGTGAGGGAAGGCATAGAGGTGGGAGGGAGACCAAAGGCACGGTTGAAGAGAAGGGTCTTGAGACCGGCCTTGAAGGAGGCAAGCGAGGAAGTGAGGCGAAGGAACCGTGAGATGGAGTTCCAGAGTGTGGGGGCAGAGAGGCTGAAAGCCCGGCCACCGATGGTAGGGCGGGTCGGGCGGGAGACATGGAGCAGGCCGGAGCCTGATGAACGGAGGGAGTGGGCAGGTTGGTAGGGAGTCAGCAGGTCAGAGAGGTAGGAGGGGGCAAGGCCATGGATGGCCTTAAAGGTGAGGACGAGGATCTTGAACTCGATCCTCTGAGGGATGGGGAGCCAGTGGAGTCGGGCGAGGATGGGAATGATGGGGTCATGGAGCCTGGTGCGTGAAAGTACATGAGCTGCAAAGTTTTGGATGATCTGCAGCTTGTGAAGGTAAGAGTTGGGAAGGCCGATGAGGAGGGAGTTCCCATAATCAAGCCTTGAGGTGATGATTGTGTGGGTAAGCTATAATACATAACTGGTTATAAGTTAACACTAAATAGATGTATCCTCATCGCTGGAGCTCAGTGAGGACCCCACATTAACACAGGAGCACTGACCCTCAGCATTGGAAGCAAACCTGTTGGCTACAGTGTGAGAAACACACTGTAAACATTCAGTATGAAATGTATGAGCGCATCACTGCCATTCTGGTGCCCCCCCACACACACATCCCTATTCACTGTTAGATATGGCGAGTGGGATTAACTCCCTGGGACTCATCAACTTCTGCTTCCATTAAAGAGAGCACAGATGCACCATGTCTTTACTTCTACACAATACTTTACATTGATTTGTGTTGAACTTCATTTTACCACGATGGACCACAGTACATACCCTATGCAGCTCTAGGTGAGATCTTGACTACTTCCAATCCCAGGTTTGCCACGCACCGCAAATTTGGTTTAAAAATAAAATCTGCACATAAACATGTGAAACCTTTGGCCTCAGTCCCTCAGCAATGAACAAAGCAGAAAGTGTGTGATCAGCACCTCCCTCCCTCCAATTACCTGTTAATGTGACACCAGCTGAGCAAGGTCTCTGTTAAGAATTGACATTTTCTCTCCACACCAATCTCAATGCTCCTCTGGTGCTCGGAAACGAGTGTGATGCATGGATTGTCATCGTGTCTGGGTTAACGTGCAGCTGTTGAGCGGTACGTTTTCATTAAATTCCGCAGACTCCAAAATACCTCAGAATAATGTACATTGTCTTTAATCTCGTACAAATAATGATATAAAAGTCCCTTTTAAAGACTTGCCACCGAAGTTGTACCAATCCGTGGTGTAAGATTGGGCCGCGACCTCCATTCTGACCTGCACCTGGGACATTCATTAGAAAAGTCAATTTCAGGATTGGAAACAAGGATGGGAGCAAGGACAATCATAAAAGCAGAGGCACAAACATCACACAGCACACACACACCAGCATCGACACTTTATGCACAGTAACAGCTTTAGTGGGGAATTAGTCATTGTTAGAAACTTAACAATACTTTGTGATGAGTCAGGACATGTTTACAGAAACAATAAACATGGGCTTGAAGTCACAACAGCCTTTACAAAGTCATGTTTAATATTTCATAAGAGGGCATTGCTTTGGGGGCATTTAGTGCTGATTATGGCCTTAACCAGCCTTTGAACTGGGCCAGAATCTCACAGCGAGGCGGCTCCAGCCTCTAACACTCAGAGCTTGAGTAACTTAATTCTCTTTCCCCCATATCATTTATATATGAATCTAAATCCGTTTTTTCTCTTCCCTCTTTTCCTGCGGGAGATTGGAGCCGGTCCCTAAACCAGGAGAGACAGTGAGTTTATCCCAACTTCCTCAAACTGTGGACACTGTGTAGCCAATGGCAGCAGCCAGGGACCTGGGGACAGGAAGTGACCAAAAACAACGATTAATCCTGGACCAGGATCATTGTGAAAATACTAAACACTGACTTTCCTCAAAGTCGGGCTCTGCGGAGTGTGCGCACGGTTACACTCTGTCCAGCTCCACAATTATTGCAACTTTTAAAAATATTTTGCAACAGTTTTGTACATTTCCCCAAAGTCCAAGTCCTCCTGCTCTGGCGGCTGAGATACTATCGGTCTCCCAGGCCCTGTTATGAGACACCTGTCGCTCCCAGGCTCATCCCAGCCGCGTGGCTCATACAGGGAAGCGTTTGCATGGATTTGGGATAATCCTGAGTAACAATCCGGCCATTCTCTCCCGTGCTGCCCTGTGCTGTCATTGTCCCACTGTTGCTCTTCAGGGCCTCGCTCAGGCAGACCTGGGGAGACAGAGATAAACGTGTAAACAACAACTTGCATTTATATGGAGCCCCTCACGCAGGGTACCATCCCAGAGCATAAGCAAAGCCAGGTGTCACCGCATGTTCATTGCAGACGTCAGGGAGGCTGGCGTCGCTCACACTAGACTATCATATTCCATTTGGTTAATGGGATTGAAGTTCGGATTACTTACTGTTTGACTGAATGTATAAAGCCTCACTGTCAGTGAGCTGTCTGCAAATCACTTTTGAATGAGAGTTGGCCTGTCACTGTCAGCTCTCTGCCAGCAGAGAAACTCCACAGCGTCAATTCCACACTGTACACATTCCCTGTTATTGCTGAGAACAGCTGTGCTCTCTGCACAATGAGTGTTGCCACTGCATCCACACAGAGCTGCTTCTGCCAAGAGGGAGATCAGTCCCCAGGGTGGTAGGGGAAGCACTGGTGGTGGGGGGGGAAGAGATGGGGCGTCAACATACTGGACGATTACAGAACACTGAACACCTACAATCTACAATTTCTGATTTGTGCCTGGCATATAATAATAAACCTTACATTTGATATAGTGCCTTATCACACCATTGAGACATCTCAAAGTGCTTCACAGAATATACTGTAAAGTGGACATTCAACTCAAACTATTGCCTGTTCAGTAATCTGCACCATCATTACAGGGATATACAACAGCAGGAAGTCATTACACAGCAGGAAAACACAAACACTGAGTTTGTTGCCAATTAGCTTTGTTCACTACACAACACAGACAAGTTGGGATCATGCACCACATGGCGACATTCCTTTCCCTAAATCTCAACACTTTCCATCCCAAATACGTTGTAACCTTCTTTACAGGTTGCATAAGCCCCTGAACGCTGCAAGGAAGGTGCGTTTAAAGTTTGTGTGCTCTTTGCCACCTTCATTCGTCTTGTTTCACTTCTTGACTTGTAACAGAACTCGACCAAAGCCACCAGCATCGCCAAGCCCAGGCCTCCGATCAGGATGTAGAAGACTCCGGCCACATTACTGAGGCTCAGGGCACTGGTCTTGTCCTGGAGTCAGAACAGGAAAGAAATAAAACACTGCATTAAAACAAGGCACAGGGACCACTCAATCATCAGCCTGCAACTTCCTCCATTGCATATTTATAAATGATATTCATTGATATTACTGTCACTCTATCAGGTATTTGAAGGGCACTTTGTTGTTGAGCATGTTTAATGTGGACACTTTCTGATATTTGGGGCAATTAAGCAATAACCATACAAGTGCTAAACGTTCGGAATAGCAATAACTTTTTACTGCAGGAATCTGAAGACCAAGGACTCAATGCCCAGTTTCATTAACTGACCTGAGATAACTGTATCAGAAATTTTAGCAACTTTCACTAAAATATTTCATATCAATTTGAAGAAAGAATAAGAATCAAGTCTCCTGATGGCTAGAAACTGGAAAGGGGCTATCATGTTATTATGTGTAAATCATGCAGCAAACAAGGCTGTATTATGCTCCAATGTGTAAATGTGCACACAAAATGGGAATTACAGGTGCCATTAATTATGTAATTAACCAAAGAAAAAGGTTGGTTGTTGGATCATTACAAAATCATTTTCATTAATTACATAATTAAAGCACATGTAAATCATTCCAGACATATGTATTTGCACATGGTGCATAATACATTCCTGTTTACACACGGCCTGTAATAGACCATTGTGAGACCATTTAACCAGCCTGGGTCATACCCTGTTCCTCTGCCGGGAGTGAAATTGCTTGTCAGTTTCCTCATCCAGGTATCATCAACACTTTGTCTGAGCTCACTGCTACAGAGAAATACAGTATTTCCTCACAGGAAATTACATAATAATCTCATGGCACTAGGTCAGTAATTATTACTGACAGAATTTCACCCCAAAACAGCTGACCCTCAGGACCAATCTGGTTTAATAATTACTGCCAATCAAGATGTGGTTTCCGTGGATAGGGGAGTGAGATGTGATCACTGTGAATTGCATATGGGAGATGTGGCACAAGGGCGAAGTGGTGAGGTCTAAGCTGTCTGATAATAGGGACATCTTTAATGTACATGTAACCTAACCTTATACCAATCTGGGATTTGATCCCCAGGAACCATCCTGGCTATTTATTATGTACAATGATATCTTCCTCACACAGGTGACCAGCAGTGATCATAATAGTGCAATGGTAAACTGTACAGATGAGCAGAAATTGTGACAGAAACCAGGTGCAATAGAAAAGGTCTCATTAAATGCACATCATTACATTGGGTCCCAACCTCTCTTCACAAAGCTTGCCTTAAAGAATCTATGCAAGAAGTTTATGTGCTGCAGGTATAGATTAGTCACATAAGTCAGAGGTAATTAGGGTCCAGCTCACTCCATCATGCTCATACGTGCAAACCCATCGTGTAAATTGTTGGATTTACAGATCTCTGCTGTAAGGCTAGGGAGTGAGTGTAAATCACACCAGTTTGCAGAACTGAATCCATGTTCTGCACATTGGAGTCTATCATGCGCTTATCAAAAGTTTCATTTGGAGTATAGCAGGCATCCAATCTGCTTGTCCGCGAGCTCTCATCTCATTTGTCTCAGTCCTCAGTCGTGGTAGCTTGGCTGCCTCGCCCAGGGTTAGAGGGATACTGAGTGAGGGGATGAAAGGGGGGGGGGAGGCTCGAGTTACCCTGGGTTTACGCGAGACCCGCAGCGACTGACCTTACTTGCAGAGTCCTTGCTTCCACATTCACCTTTATCGTACCACCATTTGTTTTTCAGCTTGTCTAAGATGCCTTGCTCACTGAGTTTCAACACTGCAAGGTTTACCGTCGTTCTTCCCGTGAAACATAACATAAATAACATTAGCAATGTTATTTTATGTTATCCATTACAAAATGCATTTCTAATTCAAAATTCAGAGCAATATGACTAAATGCTCCATCTGGCATCTGCTCCGACACCCCAGGCTGCAGGGCGAGATGTGCATTACTGCATCACTTCCAGTAAGCAGCAACAGCAGGCACCTGGCAATAGGTCAGAGATAAGGCTGGAGCAGCAATATTCGCTGAGGTTCCTGTACACCTTCGCTAGTGACTCAGATTGTTGAGGTTTATATGAAGACATTACACTGAATGGGTCTTCGGAAGCATTTGATCCACAACCAGCATGACAACAACAACAACTTACACTTATACATGCCTTTCCTGTAGGAGAACGTCTGAAAACAAAGTGTGGAACTGGAGCTCGAGAGGGAAGGTGGCCAAAGACACAGTCAAAGTGTGCGATTGTTAGATGGGTTTTGTGTATTGTGTATTGTAAGAGTTCTCTATTGGGCGAGTGGGGTGCAGTATGTAAAGTGAGTGTATGTTGGGGAGGCCAGGCCGAGTGTCCCTCAGGCACTGATCTCCTGATGGGACTCTGATGCGGAAGGGAGCAAAATAAAGCTTCACGTTTTTAAGCCCCTTGAGCTCACATTGAGCTGCCATTGAGTGCAGGCAACAACACAATAGCACCTTGGCAGATAGACAGAGACTCTGCTGGTGGTACAGTGTGAAGGGGAAACCCAGACCAGGGTGACTGGTCAGACTCTGAGCTGTGAGCATTCCTCGCTCTTACATCTCAATATTGGAACTGATTCTGGTCCACACCCCATTGCCTAAAGCAGCGCATTAATGCCAAGAACAGCCAAACTCCCTGGATAAATCCTGCTCATAGGTGAAAGACACTGGTATATAAATGTAAGTTATTGTTGGTTGAGAAGATGATGAGGACGGAGCCTAACTGGGAAGTAAGAGCAGACACACTGCACAGTGTGGTCCTTGACTGTTATCCAGACTGTGTTATAGCCTTTCTCTGCTTGTTGAAGCCAAGTGTCTGACCTTTGCTGGTTACAACATTTGTGCGTTTAACCCACTAGTTGTTTCTTACTGAGTCTGACCTTGGAGTCACCTCCCCCGCTGCCGCACTCTCCTTTGTCGTACCACCATTTGTTTTTCAATTTGTCCAAGAGACCCTGTTCGTTCAGTTTTAGAACTGCCAGGTTTACTGGATTTCTTGAAATGATAAAAGATGCTGATAAGTTATGAGAGACAGCGGCTGTCAGTCTGTGACAATCACATACAGTAGAGATGAGAAAATTGGATAACTTGGATTATTCCCCGCAAAAAATACTAAAACACATTTGTAGAAAAGAGGATCCCAAGAAATCTGTGAAGAAAACAAGTGTGTAATTTGTGGAGAAAGTGTTAGATAGTAAAGAATGAATCACAGAGAAACAACCATTCTGCCCCACAATGATGGGAGGCACTCCATTGGCCAATGGGAAGGGAAGAGGGGAGCAAGCTTTGATATTGCTCCTAATTTAACTCCTGTCAGTGCAGACTGAGTACTTATTGCTGCTTGTTGTGCTACAGAGAACAATCAGACACAAATATTAATTCATTACACAAATAAATCTATACTATAGAATCTGGTGCAGACTGTGGTGGGGGTGAGGCAGCACCATAGAGAACCGTTGTGCCCCAACACCCTCTGCCTTCTCCGATACTCTAGAATGATGCAGAACCTCCTCCCACTCAGTAACCAGTGGAAAATCACAGCTTCATGCAGTGGTTGGGTCTGTAGAAATGATCCGTGTGGAACAAGCATCCATGTAACTCAGTAAGCCATACTGTTAAACTATATGTTTACTACATGTAATCTAATGAGATATAACTATGATTGCCAGCACAGACTTGAAGGCACTTCTTATGTGCTGCAAATTCCTATGGTTCTGTTTGAACATGTATTCCAGAATTATGCTGCATTTTCTCTATTGTTTATAGAGAAGCCAAGTGTCACATTAGGTCAGGATCAGAGCATGAGAAGCTGAACGGAGGCTTGTTCCACAGGGTGGTGTCTTGGTCGGCAGGACTGGCCAGCATTACAGTGATATTCACCTCCAGTTAAACTTTAATGTTGGTGTGTGCGTCAGTCACCGTTTAATAATATAATGGCAGGAAACACAGGAGCAAAGTCTGCTGCAACCTCTCATGTTCTCTGGAAAATCTGTTCTCAATTTTTTAAATAAATAAATTTGACTTTGCTGATTGTTACTGAGGAGCACCTGTTCTCGGTGACTGAGACAATCTCCGCTGTGGACAGCCAGGCCACACTCTTGGCACACAGCTTGGAATCTGACCAATTGTGGCTGTGAATGAGAGTTTCCTGCAGTAACAGAACCAGGTCAGCAGGTTAAAGACAGTATCTCAGTCATTGCTCCCGAGGGAAAGCTTTGTCCCAGCCCTGAGCCTCAGCATCTTTGTTCTCTACAAACAGGAAGACTTGGAACAATAATCACCTCATTTTCACTCATCAGACTTTTATTTCCTACAGGACTGCCAGTGATTGGTGGATTCATTATAAACATCTGTAACTCTGTTAGGAGTCATTTTCTATTGGTTCAATGCAGCATCTCTGGGTCAGGTGTGGACCAGGCAGAATATTTCCTGACATAAAGCTTGGGTGTCTGCCTCAGTAGTTAGTGGCAAAAACTCCATTCCCTGAAGCTGATCAATAACAGACAGGAATACCTGGGCCACGGCTCCCCATTAGCTGGTTACAATACCACAATCTCTATCATATTTCTCTATTGATCAATGTGAAGCATCTGTCAGTTATTGATCCAACAACCTTATCAATAAAAACAAGGAAGTGACTCCAGACCACAAAGGCTGGTCAGGCAACTCCAGGTGTCACTTGCGGCTGTGACCTGACAGGATGCAATCCCAGAGCCTGCGTTTGAGGCCCAGAGCATCAGACACAGGTCAGAGCCAGAGGAAGGCACGGCAGAGCTGAGTGTCTCACCATAGAGCCACCCATTCACACACTGAGGCCCATATTACCAACACGCCAGATTTATAAAAACATCTGTCTTCAAATTTAAGATTACATGGAGTTGAGGAAAATTCTTGAACTCAATCTCAATTTGGGAAGTTTCTGCAGTTCTTAAAATGATCAGATTCCAAGTTAAGATTAGTTTAGGAATGCTGTGTGATTTGAATTTAAAGATAAATTGGGTGTGTGGGGCTCCATGTGGGATGTGGGACTGTGGGAGCGCAATGAAGCACAGGACGAAGTGTTGGACAGCAATGCAGAAAGCTGGTGCTTGCTCACACCTTCCTCTGGGTGACATCAGCGTCATTTCCTTGAACAGAATTGGAGAGTTCCTCATTTTACATGGAAAAGCATTTGCTTTATGATTATTCTTTGCTGACCAAAATTTCACATATTTATATCTAATCCAAAGTATTAATTGGTGCTGGAGTCATTAACTGCTGGGAGCCAGGGAGCAAGGCTGCATTAAGGATATTGAGTACAGGATGTCTTCCCAGAGCTGGAGCGATGTTTGGCACATTGTTGTGCAATGTAAGTGTGGGAGCCTTTAAACAAGGAACCTTTCATTTGAAGTAATTCACAGCCTACACAGAGGAGGATGAAATGTGGAATTCTCTACCACAAACTGTATTTGAGGTAAATTCCAACAATTCTTCTTAAAGGAAATTAGATAGATGTTTCGGGGGGGATCAGCAACATGAGATTACATTAAGTGATTAAGTGATTAAATTAATAATCCCTTCAAAAACCAAAAACAATAATAAATTGGTCATTTTCAATCTAAGACTGTTTGTGGGACATTGCTGTGCGCAATTGGCTGCCGCGTTCGCCCACAAATATACAGTCAATTCACTTTACAGTGTGTTCTGTGAAGCGCTTTGGGACGTCCTCCCGACGTGAAAAGCGCTATATCAAATGCAAGGATTATTATTATATTATTATAAGTGTCTTGTGGATAAAAACGCCAGTTGCCGACTCAATGGTCTGAGTTCTGTAATAATCTGTGATACTCTGATAAAATCTGACTATTTTGTGTGAAAGTCTTGAGTTTGTTGTCGAATATTAAAGGCTCCTTTCTAGCAACGCAAAGTCTCAGTCTCACTAACTTGTTTCTACTCCAACTGTCATGAATGTACAGTTCACATGTGCTTGGCAAACACAGGAGCGTTACTGAGGGAGGAGGGGGCATCAGCTCCTGTAGGCACACAGCACAGTATTAATGTTCTGATAGAGTCTGTATAGCAAATATTAAATCGGAAATAAAGAGATTGCACACCCAGGCTCTGATCAAGGAAATGTGGGCAAGTGGGAAAGATGGAGGCCATGATGCATGCAGAATGTCACCTCAAAGCCCCAGGGACAGCAGGAAATAAGTTTCACACCACAGCCATGCGTGAGGCGAGCAGCACATCCAACCCTTGGAGCAACGGTAAGTGACTCCAGCAGCTGGAGCTCTCCGCAGGAGAGAGTGCCTTGCCCATTATGTGGGCGAAGTAGATTCTCACAGGCACAGCAACACATTCAGCATGGAGGATCCATTGCTCGATGGTTTGGAAGAAGAAAGTGGAATGGGACGTACCATGCAAGTTCTGCCCCTCACTCTCTCAGCACTGGTTGTACAATCCATCCCAACTCAGTGCAAATAACAGGGAATAGCCTTGTTATACTGTCTCCCGTACCTCAGCGCAGAACCTTTGGGCGTAGCCACTCCATATCCCTTGGAGTCCAGGTTGCCTCCCACCTTCATGGTGTCACACGGCTTCCTCTGCTCGATGTATTCATTCATCGTAGATTCCAGCAGGTACGCGTACTTCCCTTTGGATTTCCGCACTCTGGCCACGCCTTCCTCGGTAGTTTTCACAAAGACCGAAGGTTCAGCTGACTTCATGTAAGCCCACATCTTCTCAAACACCGCAATCTTTGATCTCTGGTACAGAGAAGAGGAAAAAGGCAACAAACGTTGTGAAAACAAACAAAAGCAAGAGCGACAACGATCTGAACAGTAACAATTACGTGACGAGAGGTGATTGTTTACCAGTCCGGTGAGGATAGGAAGTGGTACAACCACAGCATCGCACTGGGAAGTGATCCACGGTTTCTGGAGGACAGAGACGACTTTGATTACTCACCCTGAAGAACTCCTTTGTAGAACCTGCATCCAGCGTCCCGTAGGCAATCTCCGTTTGCTTTGCTAGATCCTCAGCACTCTCGATCGGTGACACCATCCGCTCCACAGTCAGGAATGCGGCGAGGTTGGCCGTGTACGAGGAGATAATGATCAGGGTGAAGAACCACCAGACGCCCCCGACAATGCGGCCTGACAGTGACCTGGGGGACAGGGTGAAATGGGGATGGGAAATAAGATGAGATGCATTAGGAAACAAAGCATATCACAATGTAACTGCTAGAAGATTAACATTGGCCAAACTAGCAAACCTCCCACAGCACAAGTCAACTCAAGAGGTGAAGAGTGACCTAACCTCCACATCTTCATTCACCTACGTTTTGTGCAACTCCTCCCAGCCTTGGTGATGGTGAAGATACTGATGGAGCTGAGCCCTGTATTGTATGTCTTGCCGCTCACCTGGTTTTTTACATTAAATCATTAGGAATTTATTGTGTTTAAATACCTGATGCCAGAGATGAGATGTTACCTTCTCCTAACAGTCAGAGAATTGTTGATGTCTCGTTGGTCCCTCTGCTGGTGTGAGAGTAAACCCTGAGCTATAGCCCAGTGACTGTATCTCTCACACAGGGTAGACATTACAGCACATCCAGTCTTTCAGAAGCAAATAATTTGGTGGTGAGAATCTCCATTCCGTCTCACTGAATAATTGATGCTACAAAGCCCTACCCAGTAATTACTTTCTGTTCAGACGCCCTTTCTACAATTCCAAAAGTAAACTGCCAAGATTCATTCAAGGAAAGGTGTGCGAGTGTCCAATTAGCATCGCTCCGAGTGGCTCCCCGGAGACATCTGCCTAGCACCGGTGGTGTTGAGTGTATCTCCGCACAACCCCCACACTGTGCCAACTCACAGTGGCATCTCCCCTCCCATCGGTGTGACCCATTTCCCTAATTGCCACTTTGTGCTGTCAGCCCACCTTTCATTAAACAATAGGGAAAACTCCACTAGTCAAATACGGATTTCCCCCAAATCCTCCCAGTGCTGGAAATTACTGTATATCCCAACAGGGATGAGTCTATGTTAAACAATGGCTTTCTGTCCTTGGTTGTGCTTATGTACAGCAATGTAGAGCGACCCAATCCAATCACTCACCCTCAAGCACCCGTCACTCAAGCTTATGGGTCTCTTCTGGGCTGAGCAGTCCCATACTGTCCTAGTTGATACACACTGAACACTAAACTCACAGGAGTCAATTCTGCTCAAACCCCAGTTCAGGAATATTCACAATAAACCAAAGTGAATACAAGGCACATTTAACAGTAAAAATACCACCACTACCCACCCCCGCCCCCCCCCCCCCCCCACCCCACCTGACAGGCACGGGTTCCGCTTTCCCCCTTTTCCCCACTATCTCCATCATACAACAACTAGTCATAAGAAATAGGAGCAGGAGTATACCATTCGGCCCCTCGAGCCTGCTCCGACTCACTAGTCACCTCCACCCTCCCTCTGCCTCTGGGTCGGGGTCAGACTCCACCATTTTCAAGTGCAGCGGGATGCCACCCCACATAGTCCCTCCCTGACCCACCTCATTTATTCTAGCAGTTGTTCCTTCACAAAAACCTTTTCAAAATTACAGTTTGTTCAGTGACGTATCACTAGACTACCCACCCACCCTACAGCAACATGTAGTAATCCTTGCATTTGATATAGCACCTTATCACACAAAGTGCTTCACAGGATTTACTATAAAGTATAGCGACTTTACATTTTGTAAGCAAACACAATACTAAATCATCATCACACCCTACTGTAACATAATCCAAGTCTCCAACACACCCCACTGTCCTTGCAGGATTGCCATGATTAGGACTAGTCTCCAGGTTTCAGGTTATAAAATTAAGGCGCATAATGTATGATCTGTTGAAAAACAAATTCTGTGCAGTCAATGTATTAGAAAATCAATTGTTACACATTTCTTATTAGGAAATCTGTTAAGATTTAAGAATCAAATTAAACCACCAATCTTAAGAAAAGTCACTGATATTTCTTAATCCTTCACATTCTGTGAACACTGTAAATGATTAGGATCTTCGAGGTTGGATTTTTGGACCATGAAGACCTCAATTAGTAACAATCCTTGCATTTGGTACAACAGCAATAATGCTGAAACACTTCAAATCAAAGCACTCCACATGTAACAGCTGTCAAGTGCAGGGACTGTCTATTTATGAGTAAATGCATTACCCATTTTACCGTACACATCAAAGCACCACAAACAATTTTTTGGGTGAATAACCAATTTGGAGGATTGGTTGACAGGACAACAGGACATCTTCAAGTTTCTCACAGCTTTGGCAAATCTGAACATCCACCTGAAGGGCTCAGTTTCATTCTTCATCTAAACGATGGTGTCCAACAATGCAACCCCCACCCCCACTCCCTCCCCAACACTGCACTGGAGCAGCAGCCTGGACTATGAGCTCAAAGCAAGGACATATGGCCTGAACATTAACCATTTTAGGCTCCCAACAAACTGTATTGCAGCAGTGTAATCGTCACCAGTCCTCTGACCCCCAACCCCCCACCCAAACATAAACCTCACTCAGCCCACCACAGGCCACGTAGTCCAGCCATAAGCAAGACAAATAACTGGTTCATCAACGTTTATATACACATGATCCATGGACCGTAAAATGGGTCTATGCAGCAAACACACGGTACACCCCCAAGGGCGCTTTGCCTACATTAACTCTATGCATTTTACGGTCTCGGCATGGTGTATATAAGGTCTTCCAGAAATGCATCAATGATCACAATTTCACATCATTCATGCATTTCTCACGTTCTGAACAAAAACAGCCATCTCTCTCTCTTTTTTTATTTTTTTTAAATAAAAAATGAAATAATTTTATCCCTTTTGGACTAAAGAATTTGTTTGGAATAAAACAAAGCCACTGAAAAGGTCTATTAAAATCAACGAACAGGAAGATATGCACCATGGCATCCGAATGGGACCGAAAATGCACAAAGTTATAGGTTTAAGGGACCAACCTTGGTGAAATATCGCATCCTTGCTGCATAAAGGCCCCCAAGGAAAACCACAGGCTGTTAAATATCCCAAACTCGTTGGTCTGATCGCTATTCTGTGGGTCCTGTCCCTCCTCATACTCCTCCGTGTGCCACTCGTAGGGACTGAACCTGCTGACCAGGAAGAGCACCACGCTGACCCCGATGTAGGCAAATACGATGCACATCCAGATCTCATAGGCCAGCGGGTCCAGGAAGGAGAACACTCCCGGTTTGGATTTCTGCGGCTTCTTAATCATGATGGAGATTCCGAGGCTCATGAAGGGTTTGGAGAAATCGATTACCTCCTCTCGCACCAGAGTGATGGTCAATGGGGCAACAGCGATGTCTGCTTTCTGCAACAGAGAAATGATGTTAGAATGGCCTATGTTGTCTTACCCTTCCCCTCCGCCCTCCCCTCCCCACACACTCCCCTCCCCCCATACACTCCTGGTAGGACATATGTGAACCACATAAAGTCGAGATTGACTCTTGTTAGACTTACAGAGTAGACCAGCTCGCCCACCATGCCATTCCACACCTTGGTCTCTGGGTCTCTGGCTCCATACTTCCCATCGGCCACAATGGCCAGTTTGTAGTTGAAGCTCACGTGTTTGCCGATCTCGGTGGCCAGTTCCACGCAATAACCCTCGTACTTGTCATTGCCCTCCAGCTGCTCGTGGTTCTTCTTCAGCATCACGTAGGGAGCCTCCTGTGGGGAGAACCCAGTCAGTCACCTTGCGATGGACATAGCCCACATCTGGCTGACGGGAGCCATGCAGGAAGGTAACAGTGCCAGGTGCTGTTTGTGCCAGATGACGAACACAAAGCCGGGTCTTACAGCCCCCAGGGAGTCTGGGATGCAGCTGGTGGAAACTCTGTGGGGCCCCTCACTCACCGTTGTGCAGAACCCGGAGGCAACAAGCTCCATTCTTATACAAACTCTGAACCTCGGGAGGACCAGAGAAGCTGCTGAGACCTGGTCCTCTCCGTTACCTTCCATCAGAGGGTCTGCTCAGCAGCGGTGAGAGAGTGAGGGAGAGGGCAAGGAAGAGGGTGAGGAAGAGGGTGAGGATGTGGGACAGGGCGCGGTATCGGGTGAGGGAGAGGGTGACTAAGAAGCCGAGGGAAAGGGAGAGGGCAAGGGAGAGAGCGCGGGCGAAGGAGAGGGCGAGGGAAAGGGAGAGAGCGAGGGAGCAGGAGAGGGAGAGGACGAGGGAAAGGGCAAAGGAAAGGGAGAGGGCGAGGGAAACGGCGAGGGGGAGGGGTCAGGCATGTGTGAGGAAGCAGTAGAGGGCGAGGATGAGGGAGAGGGTGAGGGAGAGGGAAAGGGAGCCGGGGTGCAAGGGAGTGGGAGGGGATGAGGATGAGGGAGAGGTGGGGGGCAAGGCGGCTCAGACCTACCAGGATGGTGGTAACGATGTAGGTCCGGTTCTGGATGCCGCTGGTCTCGTTGCTGCTGTGAGGGTCTGTGGAGGTGGGCATGAATCTGTCATCTTCATTCCAATAGCCAATCTGTGGTATCAGAGGAACAGATAATGAGATGCACACACATGTGAGTTTGTGAATGTGAATACATGGGTATGAGTGTGACTGTGCTTCTATGTGTGCCAGTGTACAATTGGGTGTGTGTACAATCCTGTGTTCATGAATGCGAGTGAGAGAGTGCGAGTGAGAGAGTACAAACACATGGCCACACTGTGCTGTGGGTACCTTTCGGACGCCGCTGCTCTTGAGCTCCAACACGCTGACTGTGTAGTTTGTTCGTTGCCCAAACTCATTAAACTGGATGTTGCCTGTCAGCCCCTCAGCCCGGACCTGCCATAAAACACAACCCTGTCAGACAACATGGAGGCACTTCCTAACCAACCCAGAATTTCTGCAACTTTCAAGGAAACTGTAATTTTATTGGTTGTATTTAAAGTTCTCGATGCTGAGTTGCACCATTTATGTGCCCCAGGATACAACACATGGACAATGAGCTACTGAGTGTGATGCACATAATTATCAGGAAGGATAGAAAGAGTGAGTCTATTTGGGGGGAAGGGGAGGAGGGGGCACCTGCTGTAATGCTCTCTGGATGTCGATGCCTTGCCCCCAGGGCACAGCGGGGTTGGCCAGACAATCTCCGGCATTTCCTCGGCGCGAGATGTCGATCCGCGTCTTGCGAAGATATTTGAAGGCTTCAGACAGGACGAGAATTCCATCAAAGGTCATGGCTGAGGTGTACTGGAGACGAGCGAGGATAGAGGTTAGCTGCCAACATTCACGCGGTAAATGGACTTTATACTCATCAAATAACAATCCTTATATTGGATTCATAATGTCAAAACATCTTAAAGTGCTTCAGTGCTTAAAGTTCTTAATGCTATTTCAGACATTGAGAGCTGTGACTACAGTATTGTCCAGAGGTCTGTGTGTGTGTTTACCTTCAGGCGGCTGCCCTCCACACCCTGATATTCCTTGGGATCCAGCTTCTCCCAGCGCTGCAGGAATTTGGTGACTTGAATGTTTGTTGGCAACACAATCTGAAATCCAGTCACGTTGGCTCCAGCATATTGGAATTTATCCAGATTTACATCCAGGAAGCCCTGTAAACAAAGTAACCGCGAGAATAATGAGCGAGCCTGAGGGGATCAAAAGTCATCTGGAATTCAGATGTAAACCAGGAAACCTGTGGTTCACTACTGGCTTTGGAGCCTACAGTGCTCTATGTCAGGCCCCTGTGGATCAGTGAGTGTGAAGAGAAGCGGAACGGGTGGTATGAAACATGGCAGACTAGAAGTGGAAGTTGTACAAGAATGAATGGTTGAGAATTAGTTCCAGACCCCAGAGACACCCTGACAGTTAGTGACAGAGGCTTCAGAACATTCTCAATGTCAGTAAGCTAACTCTGGCTAACTGTGGCAAACACTGGAGCAGGTCCAGGTGACAATCTGTTCATGAGCAAAATCAAACTTAGTTTTGAATAAAATATTTGTGAGTCTGATCAAACCGTATATTGAGGCTCGCATTGCCTCAGTTGTACACAATCTCACGTCTCTGCCACTACCTCTCCCCCAGGCTGCCAAGACCCTAAGTTATGCTTTCATTATGTCCAGACTCGACTACTCTACTCCCTGAACTCCTCTGGTCCTCCCTATACAAGCTTAAGACCATCCAGCATTCTGCAGCCAGTGTTTTCTCCCATACAAAGCTCTGTGAGCCCATTGCACCCTCCTCACTCGGCTCCACTGGCTCCTCTGGCTCCTCATCCTCCAGCAGATTTAAATCAATATTCTCGTTCTTCACTTTCAGATCCTTGCACAGCCTCACCGCACTCTCCTCCCCTGTCCCTCCTCTGCAGTTACTCCATCTGCTCAGCAAACATTGCCTGCTTTATGTCCTCCCCCAAACCCATTGGTGGGTGATCTTTCAGCCATTCTACTGGGAACTCGATCCCAGATTTTCCCAACTTTCCCACTCTCTCTTCATCTATCTTTCCAACTGGCTTTCAGTCACCTTTCCCATCCTTCCTGAACTCCCCACACCCAGCTTAGGCTCTCAGTGAAGTGTAAAGTGTTTTTGGACATCCTCCCAACATGAAAGACACTTGATGAATGTAAATAAATTCTTGCATTCATCGCAATATCTGACCAATGAAATAAATATAATAAAAATGTAGTTACTAATGTAAAGATACACTGTTACACTGCATTACCCCCACAGCAATGTGCCAATACATGAGCTGTAATTGTTACCAACTGTAGATCAGTTCATTAACTGATGATCCTGGTCACCCTGTAGCTACAACAAACTCTGATACCTTGCAGATAGTCCCCGACATGTGCAGAGCCTGGGCTGGAGCCCTTTCCCCCAGTGATTTACAGGCAAAGCTGTGAGAGATGAATTAGATATATTTAAATGTCACTTTATCCCATTGCCATTTGTTAAATTGTCATCTTGAGTTATTGTAGATTTATTTGGTGATTTACAGAAACTGTAAATCAATCCAACATGTCCCACCTGTAATTGTCAGCCTATCAGACAGAAAGCAACCTGCTGCACACTGGGTCTTGCCCTGAAATTAACACTTAAGAGCTTAGAAACGAGTCTTAGAGCTGTCACGTCCCACATTCAGCAATAACGAGTGTTTATACGGTGAAGCCGTGCGCTCTCACCAGGTTGGAGAAAATGTAGTGATAGCCACGGATGTGCTTCCCGATGTTTACGATCTGCAACAAAACACAGTTTGTGAAATGTAACATTTGATTTTTCAAGATGCAAACAGAATTAGAATAATTTACAATTTACAGTTAAATTCCTCAAAGTGAAAATCACAGTTAGCAGCTTTACAGTGACCCACACAAACCCTTCGTCTTATCCACATTCACTGTTTCTAGTTATAAGTTATTTTTATTTATCTAAATTCAACTACATTTGTATTTGTGGAGTCCTGTAGCTCAGTGGTTAGAGCACTCGCTTTGCAAGTGAGAGACCTGAGTTCAATTCCAGGCAGGGCGAAACCTTGGGCAAGTTTCCTTACTCCACACGCCTAATAATAATCCCTCCAAAACAAAAACAATAATAAATTGGTCATTTTCAATCTACGACTGTTTGTGGGACATTGCTGTGCGCAATTGGCTGCCGCGTTCGCCCACAAATATACAGTCAATTCACTTTACAGTCTATTCTGTGAAGCGCTTTGGGACGTCCTCCCGACGTGAAAAGCGCTATATCAAATGCAAGGATTATTATTATTATTATTATTATTATTTTGTGGCTTAAGTGGTCCTGTTCTTCATCAGCAGTTAGCAATTAATGACTCTAGGCAGAACTTTCTCCATTCACCATCACTACTCCTCATTCGTTGAGCCACGTTTCATTCTAACTCACAAATGCTCATTGCCTGCAAGTGTCAACCTTATCCAGAGGTCTCACATGTGGAACTTTACCAAATGCCTTCTTAAAATCCACGTTAAAGTGGACAAATCTAAGTACAAATATTAAACATAGTGAGGTGTGGATTTCAGATGTTGTTGAGTTTACCTGGTTCATGATGGCGTTGAGTTTATCAGACTCACAATCAATGACCACGTGTCGTTCCTTTCTCTTGTCCAGATCTTTGAAAAGCATTCGGTACCCCTCCTCGGTGGTGGTCTCCAGGCTGACGGCCGTGACCTGCCAGTTCTTTTCTGCAGCTGTGTCCAGCACCTTCTGTAACACTGAGAGACCTGGGGGAGAGCGGGTATAGAGAAGGGGTCAGAGGTCAAATCCCACCTGCCCTCAGCCTGGCTTACAAATTTCAATTAGATCTGTGTCAATTAGAAATGAGCTGCTGTACTCACAGATCAACACAAACACTTACCTCGATCAGCATCGTAAATGTATACAAATTTCTGCCACTTGTAATGTGTGATGAGGCTGAGGAGGGCGTCGTGCAGTCCAGGCCTCATCTGGATGACAAACTGGTTGGAGGTGTCCACGGGGAAGCTCGGGGTGATAAAGGACAGATGTAAAGCCCCGCAGAAGGACCTCAGCGTGTTCACCGTCTTTCGGTCATAGAAGCCGAAGATAGCGTAGACTCCTCGTTGGAACAGAGAACAGACTGAACAGGAAAGAGGAAAGGATTTAGTGTAAGACACAGGTCAATAGTCCCCGATTCCCACTCACTCACCTCCCCCACCAGTGAAAAACCAGCTCCGGCCTGTCTCCTCTGTTGTTCACACCTTATTCTTGTTCAGTGGGTGTGGATGTGGGAGGGGTGTCGGTGTGGGGAGGTGGATGGCTGAGAGGAGGCCAGAGCTGATGAAAGAAGCTGTGGATGGGAACATGGGGAGACAACAGCCCAGGTGGTGAAAGAACAATAAATATCTCACAAAGGGATTGGAAAAAGGTCCTGTAAATTACAGTGATTCCCAGTTGCTGGTGAGGAGAGAGATACACAGAGAGCGTGATTGGGTGGGTTGCTGGTGGGTCAGAGTGTTTACCTACAAAATGCATCCTGTGAAGCACGAGGAGACAACCTCCAGACAGGAAAGGCACTACATAAATAAAAGAATTATTATTAATAAATAACTGTCACTGCATTCGCTGAAATGCCACTAATAATTGCAGATTAATGTTGTGGTTTTGGCAAATTACAGTTGCAATAAGATAAAACCAAACCAATTAGAGTTTGAGAATAAAAGCCTTGCCCAGCTCTTTGTGTTCTTCATAGCCATGGCTCTTTATTATCACATCTGTAGTCCTCTCTCGGTCCTCCTCAGGCCACGGTCCCACTCGTGTGGGGCCCCAGTGGGCCGGAAAGTCAGTCACTGTGTATCAGTAATTCACACTCTGTGACATTAATGCCTCTTCACTCAGCAACTCCAGCTCCTCAAGTGTCTTCTAAGGAGTATGGTTTAAGGAGCCTCTAGTGATCGGTTCCAGCTGCATTAATAGTAGTAGTCTTTCACAGCTGGAGCAGAGGCTGTGAAAGACTACTGTGAGTGCACCACAGGAATACTTGGTTCCCTTATTCCTCACAGCAGCTGCTGGATATATGCACTGACCGCTTCACAATCCCCACCCATCCTCCCATTACCCTGATGTTTCTCACCAGTTTAGTGTCTTACTCTCAACCAAGCTTTGTTGCTAACCTATTCCAGTTGTTAATCACTCTGTGTGTAAAGAAAAGCTTCTAATAATCCTTGCATTTGATATAACTCTTTATCACTTCATCAAAACCTCTCAAACCACTTCATGGAAATCACTGTAAAGTGTAGTGACTTATCTATGGAAGGTGTGTGATGTGTGATTTGTCGAGAAGGAGGCCTCACATATTCTCTAACATTTCTCCTGCTGTCACCTCTTGTGTTTATTTCCATCAGAGGATTTTGTTTGGCTATATTCTTTAAAAATAAGGTCTGAATTTGGCAACAGGTTTTCCATAGTTCATAAAATGAATCAGCTTCCAAACAAAGTATGACTTCAAGAATTTTCTACAAGTTTGTAATGTTCACTCAGAATGCTCATGGGAATAACAGGAGTTTGTCAAGCAAAGTAAAATAGTTATTTAGCGATTTCATCACAAGCCCGAGCTCTGGCTGCTTCCCTCGTAAAAGGCCACTGTAACAACAGTGTTGTTGTTGCGGGCTGATGCTACACGAGGTTCGGGAGTCAGACATCAAATGTACGTTTACACCACCAATGGATTGTATAATATAAGTTGATGTTTGTCAAACACTCTAACCCTAACGCTGTACTCTGTGTGACATCTGTTGATCTAGGAGAGAGGGAGGCCATGAGGCAACCTGGAGTCCAACAGCTGTGGTGACATTTGAAAAATGTGATCCCAATGTCCATTCCAGAACACTGCCGCACACACATGACAACAACTGCACTTATATAGCCCCCTCCACACAGGGTAGCATCTCAGAGGTTTAACAGTGGCGGAGCCTGACTCCGAGCTGGGGGAGAGGAAGGTTTTCAGGTGGGATTTGAAAAAGGGGAGTGAGGGGGCAAGGCAGAGGGATTGAGGGAGAGTGTTCCAAAGTTTTGGGGCGTAGTGGCTGAAACCAAGTCCTCCGATGGTGGGGCAGATGGTGCGAGGGACAAGCAGGAACCGATGCCGTTCGAGCGGAGGTGCTGGGTGGTGGATTGGGGAGTGAGGAGGTCGGAGAGGGAGGGAGGGGCCAGAGAGTGAAGGGATTTGAACACAAGTGTGAGGATCTTGAAGTCAATCCGTTCGGTGATTGGGGATCTTCACTGAACGGGATTGTGGAGCTGGGGAGACAGTCAAGGAGTACATTGGAGTAATCCAAGTGTGAGGTGACAAACCATGCATGAGGGTTCTGGCTGCATTTGGGGTGAGGTACAGTCGGAGGCGAGCAATGTGGCGGAGGTTGAAGAAGGTGGTCCTGGTCAGGGGCTAGATGTGGGGGTGGAAGGACAGCTGGGGGTCGAACCGACACCTAGATTGCACACTGGTTCGGTGAGTCTGAGGGAGAGCCTTGGGAGGGTGAGGAGTTTAGATCCACAGAAGTGAAGACATTGACAGGAGCCAAGGAGCATGGCTTCCAACTTTCCCACATTCAGCTGAAGGATGTTTGCACTCATCCAGACCCTGTTGTCTGCCAGATACACTGTCACACGCACACCACCACAAAAGAGAAGAGATTTTTTTCCTTGGCCAACAATTCTCCAATTTGTTAATCACCAATGCATTTTGCCTAAAAAGGCATTACATTGAGGCAGTGATTGCCATGAAGATATTGTCATGTCATAAAATGCAAGCTTCTTCTTAAAAGGAAAGTAATTTAGGTTAGCTACCTACCTGCTCAGCAGTGCAGAAATCACTCAACACAGGAGTCATTTGAGTCTGAATGTTACCAAATGTTACCTATTTAAAGAGATTGTCAATTCCTGGAAAGCCCCACCATTGTTATAATAATAATAATAATGATCCTTGCATTTGATATAGTGCTTTTCACGTCTTCTCAACATCTCAAAGCGCTTCAGAGAATATGCTGTAAAGTGAATTGACTGTATATTTGTGGGCGAAACACGGCAGCCAATTGCGCACAGCAATGTCCCACAAACAGTCGTGGATTGAAAATGACCAATTTATTATTGTTTTGTTTTGGAGGGATTATTATTGCTAGTCAACCAGGCTATTCTACACTCAGCTGACCTGTAAGATTTTATTATCTTCATTGAACACTCTAGTAAATCATGATTAAGTACATGGAACAGTTCTATAGATTCCCTTCATTTTAATGGGAATCATATTAATACAACCATAATGTTTTCCTGCAAATATGGGTGATTAGTGAGGAGCAGGTGATGTAGGAAATTGTTAACAAGCTGCAGTTTCACAGACTCTGCCAGGAGATAGTCTATTAATCTTGTACAAGCAACTTGTCATGGTATCTCTTATAACAGTCCTATTGATTGTGTCTGAGTATTCCAGTGTGGGAATGCTTGTTATTTTATACATCTGTGCATGTGAGAGGTGTGAACATGTTTGCATGTCTGTGTGCAAGAGTGTCTGTGTGTGTCTGTATGCAAGCGTGTTTGTGTGCATGGTTTTGGCATGCGTTCGTTCAGACATGTTTTCATGTACGTTTGTGCACATATGCACATGTAAGTTTGCATCTGTCCATGAACTTAAACATGCTCAGGATTCAGTGGCTTTGTAACGTAAAATAGTTACAGTATCTCTGACTAACAAAGCAGAAAATATGATCAGCTTTAGAATGAGAGCAATGGAAAACTCAAAGGGAGGAAGAGAGAGGAAGAGAAAGACAGAGAAAGCGATGGAGGGCGAGGGAGAGCTGAAGGGCGACCTTACAAAAGGTGTAAAAAAAGATGTCAAATTGAAAAACAGAGGCAGGACTGCAGAGATCACATCACACAACAGGGAAATTCACCCCAAAAACTGTCAACTGAACCAGATTGAAACACATGGCCTTTGAAGCAAAGACTATAAAAGTATACGAAAAGAAATGCTGGGGAGAGCTAAACAAATCACAGTTTATTCACAGACATCAGCAGCTCGCAACCGTTTGTAATACATTTCAGAATTTCAAGTTTCTATCACTGCACAACACACAGACAGGCAAACTGTGGAGTTCTCTATCACTGCACAGCACGCAGACAGGGAAACTGCAGAGTTCTCTATCATTGCACAGCACATAGACAGGCAGGCGGTGAACAGAATCAGATATATATTCTAACAGGAGCCTGAGAGCAGACAAATCATACCTGCAGCTTCATTACACTTTTCTCACTGCCCTCAACACACAGCACATACTCTTGAATACAGCCTGTCTGCATCTCACCCAAAATATTCATACCTCAATAATAATAATATTTGCATTTGATATAGCGCATTATCATATCTTCGCGATGTCTCAACATGCTTCACAGAGTATATTGCAAAGTTAATTGACTGTATATTTTGTGGGCAAAATCTCAAACACATAAATGATGTGAAGGTGGAAACAAGAAATCTTAACCCTTGAAGTCCCATTCTCATGACTCCGTCTCCCAACTCTGTATCAGAAAGCAGAGTCAATGATTGGCACACTGAATTTAACGATGGCCGCTGGTCTATCATCAATCTGGCAGCTTTATACTGGTTGGCAATGAACTGCTGTAACATGCAATGTGTTGATAGTAATCACTAAGTAGTGCCTCCTGCTGGTGAATGTGCACACTTCCCGCAATGACAGTAACTAAAGGTAACTGAAGTCAGAGTGCAGTCCTGCAGAATGATGTTCCCAGGAGCAGGGGTATTAGTCAATACTGTTACACCTCACAGCACATCACAGTACGTCACAGCACATCACAGCACGTCACAGCACCCAGAGCACGTCACAGCACCCAGAGCACGTCACAGCACCCAGAGCACGTCACAGCACCCAGAGCACGTCACAGCACCCAGAGCACGTCACAGCACCCAGAGCACGTCACAGCACCCGGAGCACGTCACAGCACCCGGAGCACGTCACAGCACCCGGAGCACGTCACAGCACCCGGAGCACGTCACAGCACCCGGAGCACGTCACAGCACCCGGAGCGCGTCACAGCACCCGGAGCGCGTCACAGCACCCGGAGCACGTCACAGCACCCGGAGCACGTCACAGCACCCGGAGCACGTCACAGCACCCTGAGCACGTCACAGCACCCAGAGCACGTCACAGCACGTCACAGCACCCAGAGCACGTCACAGCACCCAGAGCACGTCACAGCACCCAGAGCACGTCACAGCACCCAGAGCACGTCACAGCACCCAGAGCACGTCACAGCACCCAGAGCACGTCACAGCACCCAGAGCACGTCACAGCACCCAGAGCACGTCACAGCACGTCACAGCACCCAGAGCACGTCACAGCACCCAGAGCACGTCACAGCACCCAGAGCACGTCACAGCACCCAGAGCACGTCACAGCACCCAGAGCACGTCACAGCACCCGGAGCACGTCACAGCACCCGGAGCACGTCACAGCACCCGGAGCACGTCACAGCACCCGGAGCACGTCACAGCACCCGGAGCACGTCACAGCACCCGGAGCACGTCACAGCACCCGGAGCACGTCACAGCACCCGGAGCACGTCACAGCACCCGGAGCACGTCACAGCACCCGGAGCACGTCACAGCACCCGGAGCACGTCACAGCACCCGGAGCGCGTCACAGCACCCGGAGCGCGTCACAGCACCCGGAGCGCGTCACAGCACCCGGAGCGCGTCACAGCACCCGGAGCGCGTCACAGCACCCGGAGCGCGTCACAGCACCCAGAGCGCGTCACAGCACATCACACCACGTCACAGCACATCACAGCACGTCACAGCACATCACAGCACGTCACAGCACGTCACAGCACCCAGAGCACGTCACAGCACCCAGAGCACGTCACAGCACCCAGAGCGCGTCACAGCACCCAGAGCACGTCACAGCACCCAGAGCACGTCACAGCACCCAGAGCATGTCACAGCACCCAGAGCACGTCACAGCACGTCACAGCACCCAGAGCACGTCACAGCACCCAGAGCACGTCACAGCACCCAGAGCACGTCACAGCACCCAGAGCACGTCACAGCACCCAGAGCACGTCACAGCACGTCACAGCACCCAGAGCATGTCACAGCACCCAGAGCACGTCACAGCACCCAGAGCACGTCACAGCACGCAGAGCACGTCACAGCACCCAGAGCACGTCACAGCACCCAGAGCACGTCACAGCACATCACAGCACGTCACAGCACCCAGAGCACGTCACAGCACGCAGAGCACGTCACAGCACCCAGAGCACGTCACAGCACGCAGAGCACGTCACAGCACCCAGAGCACGTCACAGCACCCAGAGCACGTCACAGCACATCACAGCACGTCACAGCACCCAGAGCACGTCACAGCACCCAGAGCGCGTCAGCACCCAAAGCGCGTCACAGCACCCAGAGCGCGTCACAGCACCCAGAGCGCGTCACAGCACCCAGAGCGCGTCACAGCACCCAGAGCACGTCACAGCACATCACAGCACGTCACAGCACATCACAGCACGTCACAGCACCCAGAGCATGTCACAGCACCCAGAGCACGTCACAGCACGTCACAGCACCCAGAGCACGTCACAGCACCCAGAGCACGTCACAGCACGCAGAGCACGTCACAGCACCCAGAGCACGTCACAGCACCCAGAGCATGTCACAGCACATCACAGCACGTCACAGCACATCACAGCACGTCACAGCACCCAGAGCACGTCACAGCACCCAAAGCACGTCACAGCACCTCTCCGCATGCTGAAAACATGTCGAACGACACAGAAATCTGATTCTATGGTAGAAAATAGTCAAATATATTTAAAAATGAGAATAGTAAGGAGAGTAAAAGCAAAATAAGATAACAGGGCAAGTGTTGCTACGTTATTTCAAATGTAGTTACTATCGTGTTTTGTATTTATCAGTGGGTTATTATTGCACTTCTCATCGTGAGGGTAAATGTACAAATCACGGTTTACAGATAGCACTGGAGACAGGGGACATTATAGCACCAACCCCCCACCCCCAGAAAATAGATAGTACTACAACAACAACAAGTTACATTTACACAACACCTTTCATGTCATGAGGATGTCCCAAGGAGTCTGGGATTTGGACCCGAACTGGGGGTTCGGATTAGGAGGGATGGAGTCCCAAAGGATAGGAGTAATATCAGATATTCCCTCCCCAGCCTGAGGGACAAAAGCACATCCCCCACCCCATCCAAACAAGAGCATATCCCCTCACCCCCACCCCCAGCCTGAGGGTAAAGGCATTAGTAGAACAAACAGTCCTAATCCTTCGCTTCTCACACCTGCTCAGACTGCGGCTCGGCTCCCCCTCGCCCACACGTGTGTGTGTGTCTGTATGTCACACCTCTGCCATCACACAACCCCATCACAGCTGCTGGTTTGGTTGACGGTCCGGAAAGAAAATCTGTTGGGATTTGCGTTTGCGTTTATTTTGCGGAGGAACGTGGGCTGCTGCGGGGAGCAGCGATTCTCCGCAAAATACTATCAATGCGAACCAACGCTCCCCGCAGCCCCAGCGCTGCGGTCGCTTCGAGTGTTTCAGTAGAAACCGCAACACTGCAAATTGCGCTAAAATGCAATCCTTCAAGTACCTGTACAGTAACCGCACACCTCATCCCCGAGCTGTCACCCCGCCGGCGCCCACCTGCCCAGCGACCCCCAGACACTGTAGCCCACGCTGGCTTCCCCACAGCCCCAACAGCGACACACAAACACATCCCAACAGCGATACACAGACACACAAACACATCCCAACAGCGACACACAGACATCCCCATTCTAAGCTCCATTAACTTATTCATATCAGCGCCGAAGCTCCTCGCCGGCACCGGGAACACCTCCCGCCACAGTTACCAGCCTGTGTGTGTATTACTGTCCCTGTACAGGCACAGGGCTATGTGTGTGTGTTACTGTCCCTGTACAGGCACAGGGCTATGTGTGTGTGTTACTGTTTCTGTACAGACACAGGGCTGTGTGTGTGTGTTCCTGTCCCTGTACAGACACAGGGCTGTGTGTGCGTGTGTTACTGTCCCTGTACAGACACAGGGCTGTGTGTGCGTGTGTTACTGTCCCTGTACAGACACAGGGCTGTGTGTGTGTGTGTGTGTGTTCCTGTCCCTGTACAGACACAGGGCTGTGTGTGTGTGTGTGTGTGTGTTACTGTCCCTGTACAGACACAGGGCTGTGTGTGTGTGTGTTACTGTCCCTGTACAGACACAGGGCTGTGTGTGTGCGTGTGTTACTGTCCCTGTACAGACACAGGGCTGTGTGTGTGTGTGTGTTACTGTCCCTGTACAGACACAGGGCTGTGTGTGTGCGTGTGTTACTGTCCCTGTACAGACACAGGGCTGTGTGTGTGCGTGTGTTACTGTCCCTGTACAGACACAGGGCTGTGTGTGTGTGTGTGTTACTGTCCCTGTACAGACACAGGGCTGTGTGTGTGCGAGAGTGTGTGTACAGACAGATACAGGATGCTGTACTCACAGGCATGTGTCACCGCGAAGCTGTTGCTGATGTCCACATTCTCGGTCTGGGTGATGAGCTTGTACAGGGTGTCTGTGTTGTAGAACGAGAGTCCGAAGCGGAACGCGGAATATTCCTGCGATTGTTGTTTGGGAAACAGAGCTCCTGAAGGAGGGCACAGCGGGGGTCAGGGATAACAGCACATTGCGCCCCGCTCTGTCACACACACACACAGGGCTACATGGCTAATAGTAAAACATTTACAATAATTGCACGTTTGAAGATGAAAAATGAAGAAACTTTATACAAACGATACATATGGTGCCGGGGTGTGAGGTGCGGGATGTGGGTTGAGGTTGTGGGGTGGGGAGTGAGGAGATGGGCTTCAGGTGAAGGAATCTGTTACTTACCTATCTGCAAGCTGCTGGGGAAAGCACAGAAGCCCAGCCCTAGCCAGCCCGTGTACACAAAGGCCAAGATGTGCTGCTGCATATTTCCCTTTGCATTTGGCGGAGAGAGTGTGAGAGAGAGAGTGAGAGAGTGAGTGAGGATAGCACCGAATCTGCTCTGTCCCCGCTTCCTCTGGTCTCGCCGCTAACTGACTGGCTGCTCTCCACACTGACAGCACTGTATGTGTGTGTGTGTGTCAGCCCCACGCGGAGCTCTCCAGGAACAGCGAGAGACGGCAGGAGTAGAGCCGAGTGTGGGCTCCCCGAGGCCGGATGCTCTCCAGGTGATGGAGGGGCGCTTCCCCGTGTGGGAGCCTGTAGAGACGCGGCAGCCAAGCCCCCAGCCCAGCCTCACTGGGAATGGCACACAGACACACACAGGCGCCGCTGACACACAGCAATGCCTGGATTCCCGATGTGCTCATTGGCAGGACCATCACCGAGCAACTGGCCGTGAATAGAGAGTGAGATCTCACACATCTACATAATGTTTTTATTATTATCCCAAGTGCTGAGGTTTGAGATCAGGGTCAGCATTAAGCTCCCATGTCAGGGTCTGACTGTAGTCTCTCGGTCTGTGATTCTGCTAAACAAAGGGTTTGATTTTTACACAATGCAGAGAGGAATGAGGTAAGTGGCAGCGAGGCTGAACATGAGCTCCCGTCACCATGGCAATAGTTTAGAAACACCCTTTAGGATGGGAGCGGGTTTGTGCAGGAGAAGCTGCCTGCACATGGGATACGGTAGCACAGAGAGCAGCAACGCCAGTCGGGTATATGGTAACCAGCCCCATGTCCACATGGAGCAAAGGGTACACGTGTGGATCAGGTGGATATGGCTGTCCGTGGACATGTATGATTGCAGTGCTCAGTCGGTAACGCTCTCGCCTCTGAGTCCGGAGGATGTGGGTTTAAGCCCCGCACAGGGTCTTGGAATTTCGCCCACACAGATGCAACAGTGCAGCGCTGGGGGCTTCCTGCAGTGTCAGAGGTGCCATCCTTTGGATGAGACGTTACATCTGCCTGTTTAGATGGACAGGAAAGATCCCGGGTGCTATTTGAAAACAGAAGGGTGCCCAGGGAGCTCTGTATAAATGTAGATCAGTGGCTGTGCTTTCGACCCCTAGGCCCCTAATCTCTGGGATTCTCTGATTCAATCTCTCTGTCTTCCCCCTCTTTATCTATCATGAAATCCAATTTTAACACCTGCTTTTCAACAGTGTATGTGATCACCTCTCCATCACCCCTCACTCCCCCTGCTCCCTGTCCAACCCTGAGCAGCCCCTATACAGTGCTCCAAGGCGCAATTCTGCATGAAGGGTGCTATAGAAATGCAAGTTGTTATTGTAGAAACGTAAGTTGTTGTGTGTCACTTTCTGTGAGAGGTGTACACACATCATGTGGTGTCTGATACCTCCTGGCCTCAAGTAACCAGAATGTTCACATGTTGTTACACATGGCTTAATGAAGTAGCTTGCAAGTATTAAATACTAATTAAGCTAATTATTAGGGTGACTGACTACAATACAACAGGCTGGTGATTTGAAGGGCAATAAATATGTTTGCTGAGATTCATTAGGATTACATTGTAAACCTTCCATCTTGATTACACAATTGATGAAAAATGTTCCCAAATATTCTGCGTTCAATGTGAGTCAGTTTGTGAGTCAACATAAATGGCAGGAATAGTTACTGCACTCATTGGCATTCACTGCACCGTTCCTTGCAGGAGGCTTCATTTACCTGAAATATTGAAGCTATCAGCTGTAATTACCAAATATCACACGTTTGATTAAATAGGACATGAACAACTCTGTGAGCTCAATGCCATCAGTATACAGGATTGTGTGACATCTCTAAGGAGTCAACATTGGACCCTGTTCATCAGATTCATCACAATGGGTTGTACACTGTTATATACAGGCGTGATTACAAAATTACCAATTCAGTTTTACCACAAACCCAAATATATTTATTTATACTCCACCCTGACACCATTAGCCCTGAATTTTCAAGGAGTCACATTGTTAATCAATAAGCAAGTCAGAGAAGTGTTGAGGATTCTCTGTGAAAAGCAAGTTATAGTCAGGTACTCATGCTGGATTCTTGCTGCAGGTAATATGGTGGTTCTCTCCATCTCTCTGTTTATCAGAGAACTCATTTGGAAGCAGAACTGGGTGTGTGGGAGTGACTGATGCCAAGCGAGTGGGTGTTGGCCACAGTGAGTGTGTGTGTAAATGAGATGAGGCTGTGGACAGGTAGAATTGCACCAAGTGATAATCCTGCAATGAAAGACGCATTCGTAAGACTTACTTCATAAATAAATAAAACACGTATTCCAGGTTCATATTCAGCCAAAATAAATAATACAATCCTGGTATGATAAAGAGCTAAGCACAAGCTGACTCAATCCATCAGTATTTTCTCCTTGTCTCCATTCATCTCCCCTTTCCCTCTCGAGCTGCTTTCTCCCTACTCTGCCCCTTTCTCCCTTCACTCTCAGAACCCAGGAAAGAGATATGATTATGCTGATCAGTGTGGCTTTTACACTGCTCCACACACTATTATATATTATCACTTCAACACCAAAGTGAAATATTGGGCAAGTTTCCTTACTCCACATGTTTCTATTTACCTAGCAGTAAATCGGAACCTGCTTGTTAGTCGATTGGCTGATCATGTTCTGGTGGTAATAATCCCTTAAAAAAATTATCATTCTATTCCACGACTGTTTGTGGGACTCTGCTGTGCGCAATTGGCTGCCACGTTTCACCCACAAAATATAAATTCACTACACTTTACAGTATATCCTGTGAAGCGCTTTGAGACGTCTCAAAGACTTCATAAGGCTCTGTATCAAACACGTTATTATTATCATTTTGCCCAGCAGGTGCCAGTCACTGGGTGCACGTGGGGGGGTTGAGACAGTGTGCCCATGTGTGTGTGTGGGGGGGGGGGGGCAGAGCTCACTGAGTGACCAGATCCCAGGTAACTGAGGTCACTGGCCTTTACATTTCTAGCTGTTAAAGGTCACCAGTAAATACTTGAGCTTACACACTCACAATGAGAAGCTACTCCTCCCAGGACAACTCCAGTGTAGATTAGATACAGACTAAAGCTCCCTCTACATTGTCCCAACAACACGGTTCACCTCAGAACACACCGCCACAAAAACAACAAGTTGCATTTATATAGCACCCTTCATGCCCCCACATGTAGCATCCCAGAGCACTGGCACCAGTGACATATCCTACACAGAGTAACATTGCTAGAGGTTGTCCCTCAGACCTGAGCTCAGGACAGTGTGTATGGGGAGCGAACTGGACGTGTGATGTGCAGAGTTGCTCGTTTCATCTCAGTGGGAGAAGGAGAACAGCTTGCTGCCACTCAGCTACTTGTGAGTCATATTAAACTTATTGTTAATATCCAAATACAGCAAAAATGTGGTTCAAAGTGATCGCTGGCTGGCTGCCCAAATTCAGATCGTACTGGAAGAATTTTCTCTTCAATTGTGCCTATGGTCACCTCCCCCCAGCTCAGTGTCAGGCTCCGCCACTGTTAAGCGCCGCAACAATATCCTGTGTGAAGGGCACTGTATAAATGCAAGGTGTTGTTGGACAAGTCATATGGCATTTGCTTATTACATATGATTTATAACTGAAGGTGTCATTTCTTAATCTGGTATTCAGTGTTAGTGTGGGTGCACAGAACATTATTGAGTAAATAACAATCAGTGCGCTCTTGTTAGCTGATCATACATTCTGACAGTATTGGGTTAGGGGCAGAGAGGGGCTGACTTTCCACATCACGGTAAAACCCATGATTTGCCAGTTTCTGTGAGTTCCTCTGCTGTGCACGGTTGCCATGGCATTGCTAATGCTGCCGTGCGTTGCCATGGATGTTATTCTAATCTCGCTCGCACAAATTGCCCACACAGACCGTTCTGTAACTCAACAAAGGGCTGGCGCTGTGTGCCCGCTGTGCCTTGTTGCTAGGCTCTCAGCGCAGAACCAAAGCAGTGGAGAAAGTGGGGTGGGGGGAGAGGAGGAAGAAAGCGGGGGGAGGGGAGAAGCAGAGGGGAGAGGGGATACGAGAAGCGGGGGGAGGGAAGTTTTGAAGCAGGGGCAGAGGGGAGAGGAGAGATGGAGGAGGAAGGGAGGGGAGAAGCGGTGGGAGGGGGTATGGAAGGTGAGAGGCAATGCTCTGGTCACAGTTAGTATTGACTGGATGAGGAAAGTGGCCAATGGCTAACTCGCTCTCTTTCACAAACATTCCCCATATTTCAAGTCAGGAAATTGCAATTTGTTCAATAGGTAATATCTCTGCAGCCTGACGTTTGACAGTCAAAGACATTGCGGTACATGAGGCCAGTCACCCTCCCTGTCTGTGCTGGCTCTTTCACAGCTCCATGCTCCTTATTGCTGTACCTGTCACTAAAGGTAATGGCTCAGATGCTCACACCGGCGCTGTGGTGAGGAGTATCATCTCCCCTCCTGGCATCCCGCACTCTTTAATATTCCTCCTTTGTCAAACAATATTTCAAAAGAAAAAGTATGATGAGGTCCGGTGGAAAAGCTGGGGCAGGTATTATAGATAGGGCGCTAGGGCGAATGGCCTCTTTGGTTTGCAGAATCTGCTTCGCTCACTGTTTGTAGTGGAGAAATTACAGCATCTAAAGCAAAAATTTTGATAAATAAAAGCCTCAGCCATGAGATGGAGGTGTGTCTGAGGCTTAGTCCAACAACAACAACAAATTGTATTTATATATTTCATGTTGGGAGGATGGCCCAAGGTACAAATGTTAATTGCTCTGTATAACCACTTTTTTCATTGCAAAGATGTGACAAAAGGATTGCTAAACCACAATCTGGTTGTGCGCCATCGCTAACACAGGCCAGGGTTAGGTCACTCGCCTGTATCAAACACTTGTGATAAATCAACAGCTAATCATCCGCACTTACTGCTGATGGCCTGGTCACCTATTATACAAACATTTCTGCTTATCTGCAGTAAGCATGTGGAGTGTGCAGTTGCTCTGAAGCTGATACCACAGGAGGTGTTCATCTCTGTAACTTACAGCCAGAGTGTAACACACCACAGACTCTCACTCAGCTCTGTGCTTCACCACAGGGTTAAGTTAAGGTTAGTGAGGGGAAATCGTGCCTCAATAACCAAAGCTGTGTTCTCAGTGATTGCACTGATCTCTAGTACTCGGCTAGTTTATGCTCTGATCAGGCACTTGCTGCACCAGGCTTAGCCACGCTTTCTTCGGGATTACAGCAAATCACTGAATTCCCTATGAGAGGCGAGACATGCTATTCATTGTGGAGAGAATCGGGTGCTTACTGAG